ATATATATATATGAATCCAAAATATAAATATATGATTTTTTAAATTAATGTTTATCACAAAGACAATTTAAAAAAAAAAAAAGAAAAGAAGAAATATCTTTTAATTAATAATAAAATCGATAAAAAAAACAATGAACCATTATATTTCTATGAATTATTTTCTAAATCAAATTACAACATTAAATGCAATGAGAGACTTGCTTACCTTTGAGACAAAATATATTCGTTGCAACACGTTCAAAGTATTCAAATTCGAGATGTTTTTGTAAATTATTTCTATAAGAATAATTGAAATATTTTGAATAATAAATCACTTATTTACAAATCTATTATATACACTTGTAAATAGACGATTAAAAATGGGTAATGCGAGTTGAATATATTCAAACGAATTTAATAGAAATGCAAATGGAAGAGACACTGAAGTGATAATAAGAATAATAAATAAAATAAGGATGAAATGGTGAATTTGAATGAAAGTGTGGGGTAAGAGAAGTTAGAAGGAAGTGACATCCTTGGGGGATAAGGGGTTAAGGGTCTAAAAAAGTACTGCCAAGTCTAAAGAAAAGCATTGGTTCGTCGTGTGAAGTCGGCAAAATCTATTTCTAGTGCGGCCGATAAACTCTCCTCGAACTGAGAAAACGCGACGGGTTGGTTTGAAGTTCGTAAAAAGGAGGACTGTCTGCTTAGGTGGTCTCCTTAAAACTACGTCAACGATTTCGTCTTTGTAAATTTTACGTGTACAAGCATCCCTCTCTATCTCTATCTATCTATCTTTCTCTCTCTCTCTCTCATTCAATTTTTATCATTCTATCTTTTTCTTTTTGGTCGTACAATTCTCGAGAGAAATCTTTCTACAAAGAGAGGTAACCACTAACATTTCGTTTATTTATTTATACCAAAATTTTATCCTTAATTTTATTAATGTAACAAAATATATGATAATACATTTTTATCTTGTAATAATTAAAATGATATAAGTAATATTAGAAGATAAATATAATATTATAAGTAAAATTTAATAGAATAATTATATTAATTACAATCTAATGTGGTAATAGATTTAATTTTTTACTTTGTTACTTTGTCTTTTTTGTTTTTCTTACAAAGTTTTTACATTTAATTAGATCGACATTACAAATGATATTATCATTTCGTAAACGTATATATTCTCGATTATTTGTATAAATTATAATACGATTTAACTATGAATTTTGATTATTTTAATGTAAACGTTATGTAATTTAATTATCATTATAGAGAAAATAAATCTCAATACCTTGTTTTAAATATTATTGACAATAAATAACTTAACCGTTTCTCTCTATTTTCTCTCTCGGAAACAAATATTTCTATAAAGAAATATGTTACTCAACGATATCATCATTTATTTGTTTGAGTATGAAAAATCAGGACATCTTGTTATCGTAATACTGTTGTGAGCTTCTTGCAATACAATTTATATACGTTCGACTTTTATGGGAAATAAATGAATAGAAACAGAAAGAACATCAAGAAAAAGAGAAGAAGAAGAAGAAGAAGAAGAAGAAGAAGATTCTTAGGAATAAGCAAGTTCGATATTCCCGTTTGAAATGTTTGTCTAACGAGAAGAGTGGGGGTGGGGGTGTGGGATGGGGGAAAAGGGGACGAAATAGAACTGCCAAAGGGGGCTGCTGGGGGGATGCTGGGGGGAGGGATGCTGGTAGGCATTGGATAGCAGAGTTATGGGTTTTCGTGTACTACCGGAAAAGTATTAGGTGATTAATCTTCTCCTAGTTGACGGGAAACAATGTTTTCCTTCTAGACTGATTAACGTACAATGGTAGAAATGTACATTATTCACGATTAGGATAGAAATGAAATGGAAAAGCGTAGGACGTCATTTATGATCTACACTGACTATAATAATCCAATGTTGTGTTTGCTAATTACTTGACATCGAAACGTTTAGTAGAGTAAATTAGGTAATTTGATCGGTTGGGTAAACGTTAACCTCGGTTAGTTTAGTTTCCTTTGGATGAAATGATTTTATGTTTATATTATTGCGAAAATTAAATGAACGAATCTATCTATTCAATAATAAAATTTTGAAAAATATTTTCATATTACTCGTATGTGAGTGATTTATAGACACATACACAGATTTCATTTATATTTTACTTTAAACAAAATTATATACATTTACATTCATTTAAAATAAGAAATAACAAGAGTAATTTATTTTCTATTTTTTTTTTTCTATTAGTTCCAGCAAGTTTTCGTTGGTGTATGTGGGTGGGGAAGAGGAGGGGTGTCGTTTCATTTATATTTTACTTTAATCAAGATTAAATACATTTACATTCATTTAAAAAAAAAAATTACAAGAGTAATTTATTTTCTATTTTTTTTTCTATTAATTCCAGCAAGTTTTCGTAGTTGTGTGTGTGTATGTGTGGATGGGGGTGTAAACCTGTTTATAATTTGGGTATCGGATAAATAATAATTATGTTATGATTGGAAAAAAAAAAAGTAAATTTAATTCGCGTTCTAGAATAAGGTTCTCCAGAATGTCCAGTTAAGGTACGTAAGTAACGTCACCGAACGCGAAGAAGATTCTTAAGCATGCCAAGCAGTTTGACGTTTCGCGAGTCTGACATTTCAAGCGGATTCTGGACCGCTATTACGAGACTTGCGGTGCACTTGAAAGTCGTCGTACATATTAATATCTCGACATGAATGTCGAGCATGCGCTGGATGTATGGGTTCTCTCTATCTGTCTGTGAATATATATGTGTGTATGTGTGTGTTGTATTTGCCCTTTCTCTCTCTCTCTCTCTCTCTCTCTTTCTTTATTTCTTTCTATCTCCATCTGATTCTTTTCCTTTTTCGTTTTTTCTTCTTTCTACTTTTATCTCTTCATCGATCATAATTCGGTTTAATTTCTTTGGTACGTCGAATGACACGACTTCCGATCATTCTATTCTTAATCGGGATAAGTAGTGTGAGAGAGAGAGAGAGAGAGAGAGAGAATATTATCTTGGCGATGTCAGCCGAAAATCAGAGAAAGCGTTTATTTCGGATATTCCACGAACATATCTCTCTCTCTCTTTCTCTCTCTCTCTCTTTGTAAGAAATTCTATTTTCTCTTAGGAGTAACACGTTTTTTTCTTTATTTTTCATTCTCCCTCCAAATGTGTCAATTTTCATTCAACCGCAGAGTTTTAAGAGTATTTACTTAAATGCATCATCTCTTTATATTTTTGTTTATTTTTTTTTTCTTTTCTTTTTTTTTTTTTTATAGAAAAGAAGATATTTCTTAGTAATTTTTGATGATAAAGGTTCATAGGGAACTTGGACATGAAAAGAAGTAGAACTTAATTTAATTTAATTTAATTTAAT